TAGCTGTTGGCTGTTGCCTGTTTATGTCGTGATGTCCTTTCTTCGACTGTTTGCAGCTGAACGCACGCGTACACTAATCCTTTTGCAGCTGCAATCTGCGACTGCTCACAGGATCACAACAGTATCCTGCCAGGCAGCCAGCTAGCCAGCCAGCCAGACCCCAATGCAGTACATCAAATTTTGGCAGGCCTGACTGGCTGCAGCGCGATCTTTAGCGAGTGGCAGGTGCAGGTGTCTCTCTCCCCTAGTCGTTGCAGCACGCTGATTGTAGGGGCCATCAAACAGATTGCAAAGCACATTTGCAACATGCTACGTGCCACGTAAGCTGCAATTAAGTTTTGTTAATTTTAATGAAGCTTTGTCGCATCTGCTGTCAGTTGCCTGCTGCTGTTGCTCCTGCTGCTACTCCTGCTACTCCTGCTGCTGTTACCATAAACAACAGCAGCAACTGGCCATTGGCCAACATTTTGTAGGGATTCTACGTTTTGGATTTCATGCGTTGTGCTCTCTCTCTCCTTTTTTCTTGTCTTGTATGCGAAAGCAATGCAACAGCTGCCTATTTGCTTTAAGGGTAGTTTTGCTACTTATTTTTTGTAGTATCATTTTTTTTCTTTTTCTTTTTTGCCACGCCTTTTGGCATTTAGTTAACGTTTTTTCTTTAATTAAATTAAACGCATGTCTGGCTAATGGCATATCATTATTTAGATTATAACATTGGCTGTTTAGCTATATGAATCATCATCATCATCATCATATCAAATATATATTACAATTTCAAATATTAGCTGGCATAAAGTAGAGCTAAAGAGAGAAATCACTAGAGAGATCTAGTCGATTGAGCATTCAAATTGCAGAGCTGTCGTTACTGATGCAGCTGCACGATGTCGAAGATTATAATTGTGCTCGAAAAACGAATGCCAGAGCAGTAATGCAAAGCCGAAGTGGAGGAGATTTAAACGGCGTGAATGCAAATAATCTCTAATCTCTTTACAGCAGCTTAGGTATATTAAACCACTGCCGTTCTTAAGCTGCTAAGCACAATATGCATAATGACATTTGAAATCGCATTAGAGTATAAAATATCATAAAGAATATCTCATTTTTATAATTTATATATGTATTTATATTTTTTCAATTTATATATTTTTAAATTAAATTAGAGTAAAAATTTATATCATAAGGAATATTTTTTGTTGTATATTTTTAAAGATTTTCTTATTATTATATATGTAAAAAAAAAACTAGAAAATATGTTAAATATGTTTCTTTTAACATTATTATTAATTATAACTTTATACTACATATTTTTAAATATTTTTGTAAGGTATTATTATTTTACATTTTGGTATAAAATTATCTATCTATAAATTTTATATAAACTAAAAAAAAAAATGCATATAAACTTATCAGCTGTAAGCCCGATCAATATTTGCAATTATTTAAAAAATTATATTCGACCTGAAGCTAATTTAAAAATCTATGCCTGGAACAAGTTTAAAATTTAAATGTGATCTCATTTTCATATGATAAAAAAATAACTTTTTATCTAATATCCTAAAGCCCTTTATTTGCATAAAATACGTACAAGTTTAAGCAGCTATATAGCTGCCGCCTTGACTCGATTCTGTTTTGATTTGCCATGAACCCTGAAAGTTAATCCTTGGACGCAATCAATTTGTGAAGCACAGCTCTTCAGCTATTTTCACCTGTCTGTGGCCGTGGCAACTAAGTGCTTCTTTTGGCTGCTGCATGAACAATAAAATTTTATACATGTTTAAGTTTTGCATGTGTGTGCCGGTGTGTACATGTGTACATGTGTGTGTGTGTGTATGTGTGTGTGCTCTGGCAAATTTTTGTTAACGTCCGCAGTTTGGCCACCATTTGGAGCACTGGCAACTGGGGAACTTTGTGCAGTACGCAGCAAAACTTTTATCCAAATGCAGCAAATACCCAAAGCCAAAGCCAAAGCCAAAAGCTAAAGCTAAAGCTGTAGCCGTGGTCGAGTCGGAAGTCCAGGACCATCAACAGCAAACTGTGTGGAATAGGAGGGGGTGGGCAGCATAAAATTGCAGCGACTACAAAGTGGTTATTTTGTTTGAAGTAATCCACAAGAAGTCGTTAAAACTGTCGTTGGCTCCTAGATTGATGATGGTTTCACGTGTCCAATGCAGCAGCCAGTCAGCCAGCAAGCCAGTCAGCTAGGCAGCCAGCCATTGCAGAGCCTCGCTTTATCCTGTAGCCATGTACCGCTGCTATTTATGATAAAGTGTGTTACCCTGTCTCTGTGTGTGTGTGTGTGGGTGATGTGCTAAGGTGAAGCTGTGCAGTTGGTTGAATGCATTTGAAAAACTTCACATGAGCTGCTGCTATTGCTGCTTCGGCTGCTGCTGCTGCTGTAGAATACATTTTGCAGAGCGATTACCAAGCAGCAGCAGCAGCAGCAGGAGCAGCCTCAGCAGCAGCAGCAGCAGCAGCAGTATCAACTCTTCACATGCCACACTATACGATCGACTTTAATATCGGAACATGATTTACGTCTCAATGATTTTTCTAGCCCTTTGACATGCAAATACTGCAAATGCTATACAAGCCGAGTCGAGTGAACAGGATATGAGTATAGTATATGCTTGCCATATAGCCGTCAGTCAGTCATTCTGTCCGTCTTTCAGCTTGTTCGCTTCAAAATGTTTGTAGCTGGAAATGAAGAAAATTCCAGGTTTTACACACGCTGCACTTGTAACGTCGGTTCGCCCTTTGACACCTGATAAGTGTCATGCTCAAAGCGCTCGACGAACCAAATACCCACAGCTTCAACTTCTTCTGCTGCTGCTGCTGCTGCTTCTTCCTCGTCATCTTTCTGTAATCAAATATGCAAACCAAATAACAAACGCAGTTGAAAGCAACTGAAAATAAATTGTAGGCGGTAATTTTAAAGCAGGCGCCATTAACAGCAGCAGCAAAAGCCAATTCCTTTCTTTATTTTCCGGCCCAAAATTCCATACACATTTTCAATTAACTTTTTGCCCTGCAGCCCCTTTTCTTTATATGGCGTGTAGGCGTGCCAACGAAAGAATACAGAAACAAACAAAAAAGCAACAAAAAAGCGAGGAAAACAATAACAAAAAGCGTCTAAAACAGCTCAGGTTATTGCCAATAAAAGGTCACCCGAATTTCCTATATGAGCCTAGATGCCATTTGCCCCCAAGAAAATTAACATAAAAGAGAAGCCAGCGTCGAGCATCGAGCGTGAAACTGTTATGCTCATTGTTTCACATCATATTTAGTGGAGCCTACAATATGCATAATATTGTGCTTTTAATACCCTATAATTTGATGATGATAATGGGAAAGAGTATGAGTGAGAAACTTTACGTACAACTGCTGGCTTAAGAAAATATGATCATGATATGATTTATTTTTGATATATTATTAAAATAAAATATATATAAAAAAATTAATTTTATTATGTGATGTATAAAAATCTACTTTAGATACTCAATTAGTATTAATAAAAATTAAATTAAATTATTTTAAAATCACATTAAAATTTTTCAAATATATATAACAAATATTTTTAATTTTAATTTTTGTCATTTAAATAACAAAAGTTAAATAAATAAAAATATATAACCTTTTATAAATAATATAATATTATCAGCAATATATATTTTAAAAATTATTAAAAGATTTTTATTGAATTAAACAACTTTGAACCAATTTTTATTTATTTATTTATATTAAAAAAAAAAAAAAAATCATCACAGTTTCGTTTCACTATCACTAATATTTACCAAAATTTCATTTTGGGGATATCGTAGAGCGAGAGGGTATATAATATTCGATAAATATAATTATGATTCATATTTGAATAACATTTTTTATTATGTCTCGTCGCAAATGTGCGGCACGTGACCAGACCGAATGAAATCAACGGCACTCAAAGTGTAGTTGTGAACCTGTCGTGACTGGCTGAGCTTAAGTCTTAATGCTAATTAGCCAGATAAGGGGCCACACTTTCGTCGCAATTGTGTGGCAAAAGCAAAGTAAAGTTGCTTGACCCAAACGACATAAGTACATGTAATTCAGACAAGCCATACACTTAAGTTTGTGGCTTAATTGCCGGCTGCAGCAGGGACGAACGTTAAGCAGGAGCGTGTGTTCTGTAATGTAAGCAGACCAATAAGTGGGTGTCAAAGATAAGTCAACAACTTTGGGAGTAAGCTCGAAAGTCACTTCAAAATCAAATGCTTGGCATGCTGATGCAATAAATAATAAATGTTATCTCTAGGGGTTACGTATCGTTTCTGAATTTGTTGTTTGTGTTGATATTGAGGGAATTTGTTGAATGTTGAGAATTGATTAAATATCTTTCTTTATTAAGTATACTAATTAAATTATTCTCATTTAGTATGAAAAAATTTGGTTAGTGGTAAGAGCAATTTTTTGTGAAGAATTCATAATTTAATACATTTTGCTACTAAATATTTATTCACTTAAATATAATTTGTTATATTTTCATATAAATACTAAAATTCAATTCATTCAGTGCACTTTCTTATAATTTTTAAATAAAACAAGAATTAGAAAAACAAATTTTGCCAAATATGAATATTAAAATTGACTGTATATTTATATATAAAATTTTTTTGATAACTTTCCGCATATTATATTCGTTATTTCGAATAGTTCAACAGAATGTTAATAAATTTCCATTAACAGCTACTGTTAGCTATTTTATCCCAAGCTTTCAGCCAGGACTTAAATCAAGCTAAAATACTCTTGGCAAGCAGCTCTGATGCGCACTGCTTGCATGTGCAGTAAGAGCTGAAGCCCAAACCGGAAATAGAACTGCTTGTGTTGTATTTGCAGTACAGGTTACTGCTTGCTGTGCCCTACACTAAGCAGTCAACTCAACCAAATCAAATATCACGCATACGCCAAGTAGTACAATTTTAATGCTCATCAAATTGAAATATATTGAATATACATACATACATATATACATTTGTATTATTTTTATTTGTATATATATTCATAGAGGTTCGCTACAAGCTAATCCAATTGTTGTCGAGATTTGTGAGAGTCAGAAATGTGTCCTCTCGACTCTCGACCGATTTCAATCGAAAATGCCCTCATCGACTGCTTTGGCAACGAGCGATTTAAGGCCTTCGGTGACCTCGACGCCAACTTCCGTAATTTGATTGGATGGCAGGAAGAAGCCAAATGTGCCCTTATCACGCAGCTCGACAGTGCAGGTGAATGGTATATTCTTAACCCCGTAGGCCCAGTCCTTAGCCGCACCAGACACAACATCTACAGTGAGTGAAGTGTCAGAGGTCAATAGCATTACAATTGCCAGTCAGTGGTTATTTGCTTATTTTTGTTTTTCAACACTTACAGTTCAATAAACCGCTGGCACCATAGGTGAAAACGGAGCCAAACGCATCTTCAGCGGCATCGGCAAAGGCAGCAGCAATACGCATCATTTGATCATAGTTGGGCGGAAATTCAGTGTTTGTGTGTCCATAGGGCAGCAGGACATACTGGCCGTAGGCATGGAAGGCCAGATAGGCGCGTATATAGCCATCCTCAAAGGAGTTGACAAACTCCTGCAGGGCCAGAATTTCACGTTCCGAGTTCGGCTCATCACCGCCGAACCAATGATCGCAGGGGTCCTCAATACCCCAGCCGGCACCGCTCCAGTGGTAATCGAAATTGCGATTCATATCGATGCCATAGCAGGGACCCGACGAGTTCGAATAGCCATTGGGGCGACGATTCTTGCGCCACAGGCGCTCCACATCGTGTGTGTAGACAAATCCATCGGGATTCACCATCGGCATCACAATCCAATCAAACTCCTCGGACAGACGTTGCATCTCCTCATCCTCGGAGTTGATTAACTGATTAAGGATGTAAGTGACGGTGGCCGACGATATCCATTCCATGGCATGAATATTACCCTCAATGACAATGGCCTTGTTGCCCTCACGTTTGGACAGCTTGACGCTCTTGATGGGCCTGCCCTCGTACGAATGGCCTATGACTTGGCACTCGAGATAAACGTGCTGGTCGCACTGCTCATCCACCCAGTCGTAGATGACATCCAACGGATGATAGGTTTCCCAGTCCATGGGCGCATCCTCATCCACCGACGACTCGTCCAGCAAACTAAACGAAAAGTTTTTTATTTTTCTTTAGTATCTGCTTCATATTTTTAATTAAAGTCTGCCTGGAGCCTTACGCTTGTAAATCCTCGACGATTATATCGTATTGCACCTGCAAGTCGTGCAGCACCTGCTCAAAGGCGCGCTGGAACAATGGACCCACAATAACATCATAGCTGCGATTGGGTCCTCCAATCTCGTGAAGTATATGAACCTAAGAAATGAGAAGCAGAAAAACAGAGAAAAAAGATGTTGATGTTTTGCCTCCCATGCTTTATCGCATTCCCCTACTTGTAGGTGGTGATGAATTTTTTTAAACTCAACCAGCTGCTCGTTATCCTCGACAAAAGCTCGATACACTTTGAAGTTATCGTAGCGCGCGGCGAATGGCTTCCTGGCGCTGGCCAACGCAGCCAAGGATATCAGGACAAAAACTAGTAGCACTTTCATATTGCCTCTCACTCTCTCTCTCTCTCCCTGTCTCTTTCTCTTCCACTTCCACTTCCTTTGTTTGTTTTGTGAAACGTTCGAACGCTCACTGTACTGTGCGCATTGGCCATGCACTGCCTTTTATATTCGGAGGGAGCACACACTTGGCCCTTGTGTCGATTAGCTTGTGAAGTGCATATTGTCGGAGTGCAGCGCCAACACCATGCGTTATCTAATAAGTTATTGATAGGGCAAACTTTTGATCAATCATCTGGCATTGTTGTGCTCTTCTTTTTCTATTCTTTTTTTTTTTGCAGCTTGTGTCTGCTGCACTTTGTTTCTCTTATCTACATATATGACACTTAACCTACCACAAAGTAGCAGACAAACTGTCAACAAAAGGAAGTTACGACTGTGCATGGGTCTCTGTAAACGAACAAATGTTATCATGCAATAGAGGAATGCTTTGCATGGGACAAAGAGCTGAAATGAGCGAGCTTTTTAAATTATTTTTCTAATAAAATAATTAAATTATTTTATTAACCAGCTCTTACGTTTCTAGAAGCTATGATTAAATTCCATTATATAAAATATAATAGACTAGAGTTTGTTTAAGCTCTAATATTGTAAACCGTATTTTAAGTAAACTTAATACAACTTTCGAGGCAGCTAGCAGAAAAACATATTTCATTTAATATATCACATAAAAATCGCATTCCTATGATTGACCATTTACATAAAATAGGTTTTTTAGCCTTTAAGCAATTTTAACTTGAATAATAATAGTCCCGAAATGTCTTTGTAAACGAACAAATGTTATCATGCATTATAAGAATGATTTGCATGAGTCAAAACAGCGGAAATGAGCGAGTGTTTTAATCTTGATTTCTAATCAAATAGTTAAATTGCTCTTACGTTTCTATTAGCTATACTTAAGAGTCAATTAAATACTGATAGAAGAAATTAGAATTTGCTTAAGATCTGAAGGGCTTAACATTGCTTTAAGTGGGCTTCATTTAACTGCTGATGTAATTAGCATAAAGAGCTATTATCTTAGATTACACAAACAACCCATTTCCAATATTTAGTTTAAGAAAATATTTATTCAAGTAAATGCATTTAATGCCACTTCAATAGCAATTCAACATAATTCACACTAAATTACGCCTGGATTGCCGCAAGTGCAAAGCAGCCTCATCCATTATATGCTACTATGCCACTTTTCGCAATGGCTCAGACAAATATTTGTCAACGTAATTGATAAGATATGTTCGTGACTGGCCGTATTATTAGAGCACTGTTCGTTTGGTTTGGGGCTAACCATTTTGATAGTCCAAGGTCTGCGCGTGAAGAAGCACTTTTCGAGTGGGCCAAATGCGATTGCACTTGACGCTGGCAAACAGAGAGCGAAAATGCAATGACAATCACTTGGTAGAGGCATCTGGGTCTGGGTAGATAGATTTCACAAATTTCGATTTTAATTGCCTGCATTCAATTATCATGTTTGGATTATTTAAACATTGATTACAATTTAACTGCTGATGAACATAATGCAATTATGCAGGAAACAAATGCACAATATTGAGGTCATTCAAAGTTTTTAATTGATTATGCAAATGCATTTAATTAAAGGCTAAACAGCTTTGTCAATATGGATTAGCGTGCATTATAATGCAATGATATAAAGCCAGAAATGCAATTACAAATTAGATTTGACATTTTAATTGAAAATGGCTAAAGCCGGAAATTTAGAACTTTTAGAGTCAAATCAATTTTATTTCATATATAATTAAACACTTCAAGTTGAAGTGAGTTTAGGAATACTTGATTGATTGCTAACAGCGAATGCTAATAACAGAGAGAGAGAGAGAGAGAGAGAGAGCTGTTGCTGTTAACAGACTGCACTGCTTAACAGCGGCAGAGCGCGCTGCTTGCTTTGCCGGTCTCACGAAGCCAAAAAGCGATAGAGAGAGAGAGAGAGCGAGAGAGGAGCAAAGCAAAGCAAAGATGCTTTATGACTTTAATGAGTGATAAATTTTAGAGTAAATATTTTATATGTTGACTTAATGCTAATAAACCCAGCGATAATTGCAAATTGAAAATTGTTGCCAAATTTTATATAGCTCTATATATAGAATATCCCTGGCAGCCTATAAGAACGCTGCGTTAATTTAACGCTAGACTTTTACGTCTAATTAAGCAGCAGCTATTATTACAACAATGAGTTTTTCGAGGCATTTGTTAATTAAAAGCAAGCAACAAATATGCTCGTGAACCCATCCACCCACCTGCCTCTACCCAGCCTCAAAAGCACGTGCTAAATAAATACGCCAAGTTGTTAAGTACCAACTGCCTCGCTCCCTCGCTTTGACACTGACACACACACACATGCGTTGCCACCCTCGACGAGTGTGTCGTAAATACACACTTTTCTTTGTCTGCTTTCAGTTTTTCTTTTACACATAAGGAAATTTTATAGAATGCGGCAACGGTGGCAACGACGGCGTCAAAACATGTTTCCTGCTCTCAGTGTTTATTTTCCGGCTCAAAGAAAATGCGCGAATTGATGTGTCGTAAAAAAGCTGTTAATTAGCTTTCAGTGGCCATAAAATGTGGTTTGCTTTCTCTACGTACTTTTCAATATTGCAATTTTTGCGATTTATATAGCACGCATGCAAGTCTGTCTTGTCTGCCTCTCTGTCTGTCTGCTTGCCAGCATTTGCCTATGCATCAGCATCAGCGCTGCCCAAATTGACTTTCCCTGTAGCTTGAGGTGGCGAGCTAGAGCTAAACGTGTCTCTGCTTCTAGTCAAATAGAATGGATGGGCGGTTGAGTTTGGATTTGTCTGAGATGTTTGCTCTGCCAGCGCTCGCTGGGCTGGCCACAAAGACAAATATTTACAACAGCCACGCTGAAGGCGGAGAGGCGGGGAGGTGGGCGGCGAGTGGGTAAGCCGGGCAATGCTGATGCTTCCTGCGGGCTCAACGCAACTTTGCGGCTCTCGTGTGCATAGTTTCTGGGTATATCGGGCATATGCGAAAGTTAAGATCGTATGCACAGACCAGAGACAGCCCCACGGGTGCGACAAACAGCGTGTGTTTTAAGCGCTGCCAGGCAGCCAGCCGAACTGGAAACTTCATCAAAAGCGCACGCAGCAAAAACAACAACAACAGTAGCAGCAGAGAGCAGCAGCAGCAGCAGCAGCGGCAGCGGCAGCAGGCACAAAAAATAGTTTGTCCTTTGGCACATTTATGAAATGTGCACCAAAATATGTGTGTGTGTGTGCGTGTGTGTGCGTGTGTCAACTCGTGTGTGTTGTCAACACACAATAACTTTCACTTCGGTTGCTCTCTAAGCGGCTTAAAAACTTGCCCGAAACTGTTGAGCTGGCAACAGAGCCAACTGCCAACTGCCAAATATTTGCACAGATAATGAAAGTAATACAATGTGTGTGTGAGTAAGTAAGTGTGTGTGTGTGTGTGTGCGTGTGAGTGGGTGGTTAGCTCTATCTCTCTCTCTCTCTCTCTCTCCCTCTCTCTTTGTGTGTGTGTGCCAGTTGACAGTTAAGTAATGTGGCATCAGAAGTTAACTGTTTGTTGCCTGCTTTTGATTTTATTGTCAATTCACTTAGCAGCGGTAATTGACCCTAATGCCTGTCTGTCGTTCGTTTCTTGTCTTTAAATCAATACGACAAATTTCCTTCATTCTTTTTTGGCAGCAAAATTCAATTTGCCAACACACACGCTTCGTGTGCCTCTATCCCCCTCCCCCCTCTCACTCTCTCTCTCTCTCTCTCTCCCTCTCGTCACATAGCGTAAAATGTCAAAAAAGCACGTTTCAGTGTTTTGGGATTTTGTTTTTGCATGTCATGTGCCGCCAACTTTGAACTCTGCACAATGCTCTCCTGTTTTACTTTTCTCTTTTTTGTATATTATTTTGTTTTTTTCTGTTTTTGTTGACTGTCGCTGTTTAAGTAGTAGTCGCAGCAGCTGTAGAAGCAGCACCAACTACGTGACTATCATCAAACATTTACTTTTTGCAATAAATGTCAGTGGAGTTAGGCGAATAAACGTAATAACCATAACAATAAAATGAATGAGGCCAGGTCTTTCTCTCCCTCCCTCCCTCTCTCTCTCTCCATCTCTCAAACCCTCCCTTTGTGCTTGCCCCTCTGCAGTTTGAGTCATAAAAAAGTTATGCCATTTCTATTTATTAAGGCCTAATGATATTACCTAACTATGACACTTCAGCATCAGATTAATCTGAGCGCAAACAAACATAATCAAATTTGTTGTGCCAGCTGAAAGTGAGCTGAGTCCTTTTTCTCTCGTTTAGCATGATCTACAGGCTTAAAAACAAATAAAACTAAAAAAGAAAAAAAATTTTAAATTTTATTTATATGATTTATGTTAAGGCTCACCAAAAGTATTTTTAATTGATCTACTTTAGCTGAAAGGTAAATTACTCTTCAAACTTCATTAATTTTTTTATTTATTTTAATTTTTTTAAATAGATTTTTTTTACTATTTTAGCTAAGTAGAATATTTTGCTATTTTTAATTTGCTTGTCAAAAATGATTTGAATTTTTTGTATATTTTTTCTTTGAATTTTCTGAAGTTGAGAAAATATTAATATATATTAAAATATTTTATATTATTTATATTTATATTTTTTAATATTAATATTTATTTTTTAATTATTTATTTATTATTTTAATTGTTCATTTGTGTTATTAGTTTTGTCTTTTACTATAAATTGCTTTTATCCTTGAAATTGTTTCTTTTTTTTTATACATTTTATAGATTTTTGATGTTTGAAAAACTTTTTATATAACTTTTATTTCAAAAACACGAAGCTAAGTTTTAGGAAGGTTTATTTGTGATTTTTAAACTAAAGTTCATCAAATGCAATTCTACATAAATTCTAACAGCTTAACTAGGATCATCAGACCTTGAGCATTTCATGGCCATTTCGCTCTTATGCACGTGAATGCAAATAGTTTTTCTTCAGCTGTTGTCATTCAACCATAAGCTGTTCAATATTATCGAATTCAATTTTATCAATTTGTAGTTCTATGCCAGGC